GGCGAGTGACTCTGGCAGCTACGGTTAGGGTTTGAGTGCAGATGAGGTTATTTATACCCATTCGCTTTTGATCTGGGCCATCCATCGCTTTTAATCTGTACCGTCCTATCGCAATTAAATAGGGAGTGAATCTGAACCGTTCATCACGATTCAATCTGAGCCGTCCGTGCGCGATCCAATCTAAGCCATCCGTGCGTGTTTTGAAATTGGGTCGTCTATGTGCGCAGGAACATATCTCAGCCGTTTGATCGCGCGCACGCAGATCGCCCACGAGGTTTCCCCCGTGTGGCCTCCCGCATGAGCGCCTCTGCCACCTGGCGCGTCCTGGTTGGTTGGGGCTGCTAACCAGGCATCTAACGTGGTGCAATTTTTTTAAATTATGTTTTGACCCCTGGTTTTCGATTTTTCTTTCAAAAATACCTTAGAACCCAAATTTTCACCATTTTTTTTCCAAAATTATTTTCAATTAAATCCTTAACTAATTTTTCACCTTTATTATTATTATTAAATCAAATTAAAATAAAATAAATTTAATTCAATTCAATTAATAAATAATTATATTTATAAAAAAATAAAATAAAAAAAATAAATAAATGTTGGGTGTTACAAGTGTAGATCACTTTATGAGCATAGATTTTGGTTCCTTTCTCAAGTCTTTGTAACTTTAACATTAATGACTTTGAAGCTCTAGAGTACACAATTAACCTCCACGTTAGTTACGATAATATGTGTTGATTAAGGTATAGAGACCTTATGTATTTTGGCGCCCATACCGGACGGGGTATGGGGACAACCCGTTTCACCCTCATACCGGACGAGATATTGAGGTTTATAGTTTTGGCACCCATACCGGACAGGGTATGGGGATGGCCCTGGAATCATGTTACTAATGTTAATGGTTCACGTGTAGCGGGGACCCCCTATGGATCCCCATGAATGCTAGTAGGCTGGTAAAAGATGAAATTTGTTATCTGATTATTGAAGTGCAAAAGTATAACATATATTATGTTACAAAGTGTATATGATTTTATGATAGTTATAATGTTATTATTTTCATATGTTATTTTCACGAATCTCACCGAGATAAGTAGACAATAAAGGTTTTTATTATTAATAAATGAGTTTGTTATAAATTATGCTCCATTGGTCGTTTTTATTTTCTACCAACCTTTACTTCTGTGGCAAAGAGATAGTGTGATGTCTTACTGGGCTAGTGTAGCTCATTCCTTACTTAACCATTTTAGATCAGAAGACGTGGTTCCCGAGCCCGTCCCGC